CCCCAAAACCCCAAAACCCCAAAACCCCAAAACCCCTTTTGTTTTATTCAAATTTGAATTTAAAAATGGAAATTGAGCAACAAACCCCAGACGGTAGGCACAACAATAAACTGCTCTCAGTTCTTAATAATACTATAGAAGAATGTACTGTAAACTTTACCAGTAGTGTTCTTGAGCCACAGCACGACACTACAGAAGAAAGTAAAACCCTATCTAAGCCATCTAAGCTTGGTAATTACCCATGCTAAATTCTAGATAACATGCAAGATGTGACGCCAGTCAATCGAAGTAGGAGTGAAACACAACTGATTAATAACCACAGTCCTTTCCAGTTTTCTTCTCAGAATAATGGCAACAACCCAGAGACTATCTCATGAATTCAAGGCAAGATTTTAGCAAAACTTTATCTATTTTGGAGCCAAATCTTGGCATTTATATTTTGAGACTTGAAAGTCTATTTGAAACAAAGAGACCGCTTTGATTAACGTTTATTGTACAGAAAGCCATAGAAGCAACAACAACAAACTTTTAGAGATTAAAGATCAAACTATTAAAAAGAGAGATCAAGAAATTGAACAGCTCAAATCTCAATTGCATTCTCTTGAAGAATCAACTCAAAAGAGGCTAGACAGACAAGTAAGCTTGAAATTAATCATTTTTAGAGAGCCAAGGTGTTATAGGTATAAAATTGTCATTCTGGAAATGTTTGAAACCTTAAATTTTAGTAATTTTGCCATGATTCATCATTGCTTATTCTCTTAAAATCAGTGCTAACTCTGACCCACTCTAGCATACGATGAACTTCAAGAAGAAAATCAGGAGCAGAAATGTTTAATAGAACAACTTTACTCTGACATTTCACATCTAAAGCAAACGCATCAGGCTGAAATGGACGATCAAGAGTACACTCTTAAGCTAAAATACGAGCAGATGCTTCAAGATCAACTCAAAAATAGAAGGGTTGAACTTGACCAGTACTTGCTTCAGACAAATCCAAATGACCTCCAGAATGAATCTATTCAAGAGTAAATTTCCTCTAAATTTGTAGAATAACATCAAAAGTTCCTCGAAAAGATAGCTACGAACGAAACCAACTCGAGAGCTCAAATGCACATGAGTATGCTCTTGATGGTCAACAGCAGAGACTTGAAGAGCTAGAAGCCAGAATTCGTGAGGAATGACAACAAGAGTACGAGCAAAGGATGCAAGATTTCCTCCAAGAAGCTGAGCAGATCCACAAGTAACCTCTAAACACCTAAAATTCTAGTCGTGAAATTGCCAGATTATCAAGTAATCCACATCAGAATCCAAAGTCAGAGCTCGTCCTTCGTGCTGAAATGTACGATAAAGTAAAGCAAGATATGCAGGAAGAAATTGAGGAGAAAATTATAATAGAACTAACCACCACTGTTAAAGAAAGTATCGAAAAAGATTTGAAAGCTACTTATGCTAAGAAGCTAAAAATCCAAGTTCAAGAGAAACTTGAGGAAGAAATTGATATAAAGACTAAAGAAATCACTAAGAAGATCAAAACTGAGCAAGTCAGAAAGCTCAAATCGTAAGCATTTCATGACATCTTTTAGAGAGAAGGAGAAGCTACAGAAGAAGTATAAACAACAATTTGAAGAAGAAACCAAAGCTGAATGGGATAAAATTAAAGCAGCCAAAAATGAAATCTCAAGAATCAGATCTAGAGAACAGGTAAAGGTCAAAAACATCAAGCAAGAGAAAGAAAAGCTGGATAATTTTGTAAAACTTAAGGAAATGGAACTTCAGAGGAAGATCAATGAGCTAAATGACCAAGTTAATCTCCTAAAAGCACAGAATGAAGAGTTGGAGCGGTCTACTATTAAGCAACTGAATAAATCCTATAAAGAAAACCATACCAAATATGAACACAAAGTCAACTTTTTAGGCGGTGGAAATTTTATTTATGAAGAAAAGGCCAATACTATTGTTAGTGACTCTGAGAAAGAGAATGAATATACACTCAGAAATAAAATAGGCAAACCAAAACGTGTGCTGATCCCCTCTCAAGAAGCTACAAATGAGAGTATCGAGTCAACCAATAGATCTGGTAGAGATTATGTTCTCTCTAGTGGAAAATCTAGACATCGAGATGGTGCTAAAAACTATGGCTTATTTGACGCAGAAGAATATTCGGAAGATAATAGAGAGCAATCCGAAACTTCTGAATCTCAAAACTATGATAACGAAATTTTGGAATCATCTCCTCAAGAATTTGACATAAATATCCAAAGAAATTTATATAGTCTTCCTTCTGATTATCAAGATCGTAGCAGGGATAGAAAGTTTCTACTGGCAAATATAAATAGCGTGGAAACTGCTGACTGGGGAGTTCAAAATAATCCAAGATTTCAATAAAACTCTCTTACAAAGGGGTTTTGGGGTTTTGGGGTTTTGGGG